CACCACCTAACTTCTTCCATATTTCTAAAGCCTTTTTAAGAATATGATTTTTATATATGTTAAGCTCAAAAAAATCAACTTTAATAAAAAAAAAAATTAAATTAAATTAAAAATATGCATTCTGAAGTAAGTTAATAAAAAACTTTTTAAGTACCTTGGTAAGCTGGGTGTAAAAAAAAGAACAAAAGATACAAATCTGTATCAAATTCTTTCCATCACTTATTATAAATAGCGATACAATCTCGTCGAAATTGGCTATTATATAAAACAGAAGTTTCTTTGATTGGATTGCCATTTTTACTAGTTCAACAAACACATTAGCTAACAAGGTGGTTTGTAACTCCACATTTTTTACAGCCCGTTTTACTGGGCGGAGAATATCCCGCAATTGTTCCACGTCAATCCAAAATTGACGATCACCAATTAACTCTTTTACAGCGCTCACCCGATTAAAAATTTGAGGATCTTGTTCTAAAACCTATTAAAAATAGGTTATCTTAATTAAGATATGGTCATGTGTGTATAGAGTGCCATCAAGGGAAAACCCACAAATCTTATCTAATAAGATTTGCAGAGTTTTTCTTGGCAGCACTCATATGTATATTAAAAATCTAATTGCAATAATATCAATTTAATGTTCCCTTCATTGCGTATAATTGTTTCACAACAATCCCATACTGTTGACCACCGGGTTTTAGTGCTCGATTTTAAATTTCCACTGACAGTGAAAGTAGATATAATTTCTTGATTAAGGGTGGCACCAGCAATATAATAATTCCTAAAAAACTTTATGACTGTTTGACAGTTAGAAAGAATAGCTCGTGCATGAAGTAAATGACAGATACTGCTAGAGATTAATTGCATGTGATGTGCAATGCATCTAACAGGTAAAATATGCGGATATTGTGTTGCAACCAGACGTTTTGCCGCTATCATTGCCGATTCTGCATCAGACACCACTGCAACAAATTTTTCAGGTCCAACATTTTCTATTACTTCTCTTATTCTTTCAGCATTAAAATTTGCCGTATGAGAGGACATTGAAAAATCACGTAAAGAATAAATATATTGTTTCTTCTCATCCGTCATTATCACAAAGGCATATATGCTACGTTTTAATGGACTGCACCAACTGTCTACACACAGCGTTAGATTTTTAGATTTCAATAGTTCTTTCTCTATTTTTAGTGTTATGTTCGCTGCTTCTACATCCAAGATTGATGTTGCCAACGTAGTTCTCTTAGGTGAATTATACCCTGGGTTTAATAACTTTGTAAAATCCTCAAAATAAGGAGAATCAAAGGTGGAAAATGAGATACCGGAACACACAATCCATTTGATCAGCGATTTATTGGCCCTTGTTTCTTTAGCTTTATCAATGGCTTCTTTTGTGTTGTAGTATACGTCCATAGTTAATATAGGATAGTCTGATTTCCTTTTTTTTTTTGAAGTTGACCCATCCTCATTTTGAATATCCCGAAGTACCTTAATTCGAATATCTTTTGGCACTCTTCTTTTACATTTCAGTGTGAGGTGAGCCTTCATTTCATGAGCTCTTCCTCGAGTCCATGATGTAGCATAATACCTACATCGTGCCCCTTTATGTATCCCTCTTCCATTGATAATTGCATCAAATTCGTTCCAAATATCCTCTTGGGGTCGCCCTCACTATATGATGATTGCGTCGTCTCTGTTTGTGTGGAATCTGCTTCTGAAGCCAAAATAGAATCATTTGAAATATTACCAAGACTAGTAGCATCATTGTTCATAACATCATTATTCATAACATCATTGTTCATAACATCATCATCCATTGTTATATAAAAAAAAAAGAAAATATCTATAAAAATGTTTTTAAAAAAAAGAGCGATGTATACCAATAAGATTGTTAAGGAAGGAAAATATTTGCTAATAAAATTCTAAGAAAAAGATGAAACTTCTACAAAAAATAACGCTATATGGTTCATTTAGATAGAGATGATTAATAAAGTTTTTAAGATATTGGAACAAATCCAAACTATAATATG